CCCGCCCCGCTCCAGCCCGCTCGCCGGGGGCTCCAACGGCGGGCCTGGACCCAGCGAGGGGGAGGGGGTTTCTTGTTGGCGTCCAGTTGGGGACACACCTGGCGCATGATTTACGAAGTGAAAGTGTTAAACGAGGCCACCAGCTGGAGGCCCGACCCGGCTTTATGAGTTTTATTAGGTGCCCTATTATGGAAAATAAACTTTAATCCGACCATAAAAACCAAATCTGAAAAACATACTTGCCCTTGTAGTCTGGAACAGGGCAGCATTCTTGGCGGAGGTCACACCTCCGAAGGGATTAGTTTTATTGAGGGAGACACAATGCGCCGCAGGACTTTGATACGAGACGGGGGGCCGCGCACGTTTGCGGGGAGCACGCCCCCACGTCGCCCACACCCGGCACTGGCCCCTCCCTGCGGGTCCCCCCTCTGCCACTCCCCACCCCAGGAGCGCAGTCCCCGCCTGGCCACCCCGGGACCCTGGGCTGGAGGGGGTAGCGCAGGGGACGCCGCAGGGCTGCGTTAAGCCGCAGACCCTGGAGGTGCTCCAAGGCACCCGCCTGGAGCCCGGGGCCTGACGCTCAACAGCGCAGCCTCGGACGGCCAGACGCCCTCCTGCTCTGGTCCGGAGCTCCCCTCCTATGCCTTCCCGGGGATTTGGATTTTCCACAGCAAGTCTGTCCTATCTCGGAGGGAGGGAGGAACGGGGCGGGGAGGAGCGGAAGGAAGGAAGGCCTGTCTTAAGGGTCAGTACAGTACTGTTAACTGTGGTTGGGCAAAAGATCTCTAGAATCTTTTCATCTCCCAAAACTAAAACTCCGTATCCATTGAAAAACTCCTTCCCCCTCCTCCCAGGCCCTGACAACCACCCTCCTACCTTCTCGAAGTTTGACTTAGATTCCACTTGTAAGGACAGTTATGCAGTATTTGTATTTTTAGTGACTGGCTTATTTCATGCAGCATAAGGTGCTCCAGGTCCATCCGTGTGGTGGCAGGGAGCAGGATTTCCCTCTTCTCAAAGGCTGAATAATATTCCATGGTGTGATATATTCCATTTTCTTTCTCTCTTCAACTGTGGACACTTACATTGCTTCCACCTCCTGATTACTGTGAACACTGCTGCCTGAGCATGGGTGTGCAAATCCCTCTTCCAGATCCCATTTAAATTCAGTTCTCTTGGCTATACAACTAGAAGTAGGACTGCTGCATCCTATGGTGTTTCTAGGGTTTTTTGTTTTGTTTGTTTTTGAGAAAACTGCATCCTGTTTTCCACGGTGGCTGCCCTATTTTACATTCTTCCCAGCAGTGCGCAAAGGGTCCGATTTCTCCATATCCTCGCCAACACTTGTTATTCTCTGTTTTCATTTTTTTGTAATAGTCATGGTAATGGGTGTGAGGTGGAAGCTCATTGTGGTTTTGATCTGCATTTCCCTGGTGATGGGTGATGTTGAGCACCCTTTCATGTGCTTGTGGACCATGTGTATGTCCACTTCAGAGAAATCTCTATTCAAGCCTTTTGCCTTTTTGTAAATCGGATTCTTATTTTTCTTGCTGAATTGCATGAGTTCTTTATATTTTGGCATATTAACCCCTTATCAGATATATGATTTACAAATATCTTCTCCCAGTCCTGGGTTGCCTTTTCATTCTGTTGACTGTTTGCTGTGCAAAAGTTTTCAAGTTTGATGTAATCCCATTTGTCTATTTTTGCTTTTGGTGTCATAGAAAGTCACTTAAACTGATCTTGCCAAGCTGACTTCCCTCTGGGGCTGGGTTGTGGAAGGCCCACCTCAGAAGGAACATACCCACTTCCTCTAGGTTCTAGTTGTTTCTGTACTTCTCAGACTCTGCCTATTAAAGCTTCTGTAGAGGCCTGGGACCCTGGGCCACAGCTCTGCCAGGACTGCGGGCTGTCACCTGGAAGATACCTGCAGATTGGTTTCTTTGTCACAAAAAGGGCTTTATCCACACCCTTTTGTACATGCTGGAGACACTTGCCAGGGCAGGTGCCTCTTTTCTGAGAACGAAGGAGAATCTCCCACTAGGGTGAAGAGAAGCAGGCTCAGGATCCGGCCCTCGGTAGTCGGCGGGCCAGGCTGGCTGGGGACCTCGCTGGGGACCCAGCCCCCAGGCTCCAGCGACCCGGCGCCTGCAGGGTCTGCACGGCGCACCCTAGCTCTGGTGGAAAGCCGGGAGGCCCGCGCGATAGTCCTGCGGAGCGTGGGCTTGTGTCCCCCTGGGCTCGGGCGGCGAGGACCTGACTCCAGGTCGTGGAAACAGGGTCGGGGGGGGCGGGCGCCTGCAGAGCCTCTCACACCGCCCCCCCGCGCGGTCAGCGGGGTGGGGGGCGCGCCCCGCGAGGCGGGCGGAGCAGGCCCTGGCGGCCCTTCATTAGGCGGAATGAATTGTTCGCCGTGCCCGGAGTGGGTGAGGATGAGCCAGTGATTATATTTAAATTTGCTATAATTGATTTGGGGAAGAGCTACTGTGACAAGAACGAATTGATCATTAAATTTATTAGCGAGATAAATTCCGCCGCGATTAGGCAGCTGGCTGCAGGCGCTGGGGCCGCGGGCGGTCGGGCCTTCCCGCCGCCAAGTCCCCGCGCCAACGCCGGCCTTGCTCTGCGCGCTGCGGCGGGGTCGGGACGCACGTCTGCCTTCAGTGCTCCGCTTCCCCGCGCCCGGGGCGAGCCGGCCGCTCCCGACCGGCTGGGGCTTTTGCCCCTCGGCGGGGAGGCACCCCAACTCGCAGGCCCCGCCACCCGCCCCGGCTGCCCTGCGCTGAGGTGGGGGCGCGGACCGAGCCGGCCGAGCAGGGGGACGACCCTGGATTGAAGCCAGCCGGGGAAGAGATTGCTTCAGGCTAAACTGCACCAATGTGTTAGAAATTAAAGCGCCATAGTCGCGGATTGCAAAGGTTTGGTTTGGTTTGGGGTTTTTCGAACCCCAAAAGGCATCTGTCTTTCTCTTCTCTCCCTCCCCAGCCGCCCTCTGCTGTTCCCACCAGCTTTCTCGGGGCCCTCTGGCTATCCCACAGCTGCAAACCCAGTCCCCGGCCCCCCAGGGCACCTTTGGACCCCGAGATGGCCGAGGCCCCGCGCCCTGCCCACAGCTGCTCCCGCCGGCTCCGGCTGCGCCGCGCCCGGCCCCAGCTGACGTTGCATTTTATGGAACGAGCCCGGGGTGATAATGAGCTGCCAGAGAGGATATTAATCTCACCCCGGCCCTGAGGTAGGGGAGTGGCCCCGCTGGCCCGCGGTAATCACCCAAATGAAACGCCTGGCCCTTCTGAACTCATTTATCAGCTGGGAGGGGGCGCGCAGGGGGAGGGGGGCGCGGACCCGGCGCGCAGCGGCTGCGGAGAGAAAGGGAGAAACAGAAGGACGGAGGCGGGCGCGAGGGAGGAAGAGAGAAGCCGCGCGCCCGGGCCGCCTGGTTCCTCTCGGCCCACGGGCGGCCGCGGACCGTCGCTGGCGGGGCGGCGAGGGGAGCGGCCGGCGCGCGCCCGGCGCGCAGGTGCAGCCGGGCTTGTGTGCAGCACATGGCAGCGCCCGCGGCAAGGTTGATTCACCCCGAGCCACGGCAGCGCTGGCGGGAAGCGATCCGGCCGCCCGCTGCTGTCCTCGCGGACATTCGCACAGATCCCAGGAACACGGCTCTGGCCGCAGCTAGAAAGGTCCTGCGGGAGAGAGGGCCGGGGAGAAGCCCGGGGTTACTCGAGGCAATCCCGACCCCGGACGCCAGGAAAATCATCTCGTCGTTTCAAAGCGTATTTTCTGGAACATTCAGACAGTGTGTTTCCACGAGCGCCAGTGAAGCAAGAGCCTCAAGGAAATGAAAAAATAAATACTCGGAATCCAAAGTCACTCTCCTGAGATTCACGCATTCGGACACGCGCTGACACCTGGTCTCAGGTATTTTTACGAACATTTCGCACCTAGGCCTCCCCAGCGGCGGGAATCAAGTTCCCCGCCCACGTCACAGCCCAGAAGAGGAGGTGTTCCTAACACCTGTTTGCCATTCTCATTTGCACCTTTCGCTGTCAACTGAGGAATACACCCCCCCCATCATTTCAACAACAAAAATAGTACAGTGCGCTTTCATAACTCCCTCCCCAAAGACCTGCACTCTCATCCAGTAAAAAACCAATTTATTTTACATTCCATCGTGGGCGATGGGAGAAGCTAAATAATAATTTAGCATGCATAAGTAGATGCTTCTTTATATATATATATATATATATAAATACAATATACAAAAATAAAGACAGTACAGTTTTGAGATTTCCAGCGGTTTGAATGCTCATGACATAAAGTTCCCCCTAAGATAGGTAAGCACAAAACATTTTCCCTTTTTCAATACTCAGCAGAATGTCGATTCCGGAGAAGGTTTCAAGTTTTCCAGGTGGTCCAACACTGTAGGTTCCTGCCTTCTCCATCAGGAGGAGGGGAGTGGGAGGCTCCCCCTGATAGCGGCCAGCTAGCTCTTCTCACAAACACTAGGCCCCAACACTAACCGAAATTAAATTAAAAAGAACGGGAGTTCAAGCTTGAACCTGCTGGGCCTCCCTCTCTGTCCCCAACGGGCAGCGCCGGTCGGCGGCCTGGCTCACAGGCCTGCCGGGCCCCTACTGGGCCTGGGGCTGGTGCCCGGGGCCTCCAGGCCGGGGAGGCGGCGAGTCGGCCTCGGTGGAGCAGTCGGAGGACACGGCGTGCGTCCTGGCGCCGTTGCTGTAGGGGAAGTGGTCCTCGTCCTCGTCGTCCTCGTCCTCCTCGGGGTCACTGTCCCTCAAGTCCCGCAGGTGGCGTCCACTGCCTTTGTCCCCAACCGCCGGTGGCCCCAGCAGCTCCCCCTCTCCCTTGTCCTCTGCGTTGCCACCTTTGCTCGCGCCCCCGCCACCCTTCTGCTTCTCAGCCTCCTGCGCTGCCTGCTCCTTGGCCTTTTTGCTGCGTTTCCACTTCATCCGCCGGTTCTGGAACCAGATCTTCACCTGAGAGCACGAGAGGGTGTGAGAAAGCGGCCACCTCCATCCCCACCGTTGGTCTCTCTGGAGGCCCCCACCTCCTGCACCTCGCAGGGTCCTGGCCTCCCTCACGCTGCGCAGGAGCGGGCTTCAGAGTAGGGGACACAGAGGCTCCGGCGGGAAGGAACCCCCTACCCCCTTGGCATCAGCAACCCCAGGAGTGGGGCTGGGGGAGTCCACGGAAGCTCAGACTAGGACCTCCACTGCCGGATTCCTGTCCTTTTCTAGGGGTGCTCGCCCACTGTCCAGGAAGGGCCGGAGCAGCTAGGGTCCATATCTGTAAATCTCAAGATGTTCCCCCTCTTTCTGGAATAAGGTTTCTCAAACGTGGCCTGAGGACCATGGCTTCAGAATGGGGGAGTGGGTGGAAGTGTCCTTAAAAAGCAGATTTCTGGGTCTGACCTCAGCCTACTGAATCAGACCGCTGGGCTTGGTATATGAACCCTAGCGGGGCAAACGCGGACTCTGCCTCGGACATTAGCCGTCCCCCTAAAGTCAGGAGGCGCTGCTCCAGGTGCCAAGAGTGGCCCCTAGGAGGGCAGCTTGTGTTGAGGTGGCGTGGGGGGAGGGGGCGGTGTACCTGGGTCTCCGTGAGCATTAGCGACGTGGCCACCTCGAAGCGCTTGGGCCGTGACAGGTACTTGTTGAGCTTGAACTGGTGCTCCAGCTCGAGGAGCTGCTGACTGGTGAAGGCCGTGCGGGGCCGGCGGCACTTCCCCAGGAGGTTGGACTGCGCCTGGGCTGGGGACAGAGAGGGGCGTGAGGCCTGCAGCCTGACGCTGTCCTCCGTCCTCCGACCCCCCCACGGCCCCCCAGCGCCGCCGCCACCTGGCCCACCAGCCCTGCCAAGTGGCTGCTCTTCCTTCAATGTGAGCACCCTGTCCCCAAGGGACTCAGTGACCAGAGGAGGCCCTGGAGCCCAGGACCTGGATACCAGGTGGAGCCATGCGGGTTTGGGTTTAATGCGACTCAATATATTTTTTTTCTTTTTAACTCAGGGTCTGGGTGTTCTGATTAAAGAGAGCCTATCACCTAGGGCAGCCCTGTCCATCTGGGGGGTGCGGGGCAGTGTAGAAGAACTTGACAGACAGGCAGGATGCTGAGGCCAGAGAGGCATAGCTCCTCTCCACTCCTCACCCAGCACCCACCCCCGCAACTCAGCCTCAAATCCAAACAGGTCTCCGGAATTACCAGTCCCATTTCCTCCCAGCCAGCAAGGAACTAATGCAGGATTCCCACCACCACCTCCTCAACTACAAAAGGAGGAGTAAAAGTAGGGCAAAGGCAAAGAGAGAAGGAAGGATAGAAGGAGAAGGAACACATCTTGGGCCCAAACATGTGAATTCATCACACTCCCCACTGAAAACTCTTCTTGACGCTCCTGCCCCCTTTGCGGAGGGGCAAAGCCCAGGGAGACTGGAAGCCTTTCCAGGACAGATCTCATTTCACCAATTGAAGGCCAGGCAAAGGGGGGATCCGGCTTTCTGAACGTTCAAGGAGGTCCCTTGGCTGTATTTACATAATTTCACACGGTTACATCAGAGAATTTTATGGCCTCAAAAAACGAGACTTCCCTTGATTTCCCAGGAGCCTTACGAGTGTTAGACAATAAACGAAAGGATAGAAAAGAGGGCAGCCCAGCGGCTGAGCGCAGGCCCCCCGGGTGGGCAATTTGCTTTACGGGAAGGCCCACGCCCCCAGCTTTAGTTAAATGAGGCCCCAATTCCCAACTTGACAATACATTAGAACTTTAATTAAAACACTGACTCCAGAGGGACCATTTGGGAAATGCCATCCAACAGCAGAGACAACCAATTAGAGGAAACCAAACAGGTGTTCCAGCGACAGAGGAGGGACTCTCAGAAGACATTCCGGCATCCTGGCCTGTTTATTATCGCCCTTTCAGGATTTGGTATTTAGATACCTTTTCTAAACTTAAAGCAGGCTGGGTTTAATTCTGCTACCTGTAGGTCAAGATTAGGAATCAGGGATGGGCAAAAGGGATGTGACTTTCACCAATTTTCTGAGCGACCTTGAGCTCCACACAGGCCCAGGAAACCATGGGAAGGGAGGGGGGGGGCAGGGAGCCCAGAACCCAGTGCCCAGGGGAGGTCTGTGTGGAGACCCCCACCCCCCTCAGTGGGAGACTAAGCATCCCAGGCTCTGGGACATGCAGATCATAAGGAACACCCATGGGTGGCTTTCCATCAGAAGGGGATTGTTGGCTCTGCTCACAGCCAGGTCCAGGAAGAGTGCCTTGGGTTTGGCTGACCCGGGATCAGCAGGTTCAGATATGTCCGAAGCTGCGGCCCCAAACTGAAAGGTGAGTCCAGGCTTTCCCTGCTGCGGATCAGAAGGGGCTGACTTCCACCTGGACAGGCTGGGTGGCCATTAGGGTCTTCTGGGAGCTGGAGAAAGCCTGGGGTGGCTAGGGGCAAACAGTCCGCAGGCTGAGATTTTCTCACCCAGCTGTGACTTCTCCAGCTCTCAGGCCCCTAGCTTTTCTCTGTTTAGTCACAACCATGGCTTCTAGCAGAGGAATCTGAATTCTGCCAAGTGTTTATTTTTGTTTTCCTTTTTGCTTTTTCCCCTCCTATGCCTGCATCTCCCCAGTCTAAACACTTCCACTCAGAAGGAAACAATGGGGTCTCTTTGTTTGGGTGTTCTGCAGCTGAAAGCATAAAGTCTCATGCATCACCCTCCGTGTGGAGCCCGGGTGGGGCGAGCAGAGGGGAGATCCAGACTCCCAGAGTGCCAGCCCAGTGTGCCCGCCCAACGGGCCAGGAAAGTCCAGTGGGCTCAGGCCTCCCGGAGGCGTACCACCTGCATGGCAAGCATGCTGCCCACAACCCAGCAGCTCTCAGGCTGGGGGTGGCCAGCCGTCCCTCGCTCCTATCCTGGGGAGGGGTTCACTCTGTGTTGGGTGCCTCCAATTCTGGGCCGGCACCTGCTACGTAGAGTCCCTATGATGGGGTTCATGAAAGAGGCACATCCCTTCTGCAGGGGCATGCCACCGCTCTCTTCAGGTCAGGACATCTGCCTGCTGGGCATCACACCCGGGACCAAGCGCCCTTACAGAGGCGGGCAGAACCCCTGCAAATGGCCAGAGCATAGCCAGGGACCTGGCCTTGCGGCCCTGGCCTCTTGAAGCCCATTTCTTGTTCTCTGCTCCTGAATCTCTCCTCCTGGGAGGGACTGGGGGTCTCTCCAGAACCCATAATGCGTTTCCTAAGTTCGTTTCCCTGGAGATAAGCCCCTGGTTTAGGTGGCCTCGATCCCCAAGCCAGCCTAACTTGGACGCTGTTTGGCTCGCCTTCCCCCACCACTTCCTTCTCCTCTAGCCTGCCGGTTAATGATTAGATTTTAGTCTCACACCTCCAGCTGCCCCTTCCCGTTAGGAGAGGAAGAGAAAGCAGGGCCCGCGCGTGGCCATTTTAATAATTCGCTGCCAAGGCCACAGCGTGCAGTCCACATAAGTCTTCGCGGGCCCCAGGCGGAGGCCAGGCGGCTTCTCGGCCCTCCCACCGTGCTCTCAGAGCAGAGAGCAAGGAGAAGGAGGTGCCGGGTGGAGGAGGATGCGCGGGAAAACCGTGTGCCAGGACTCCCCCTCCCCCATTTCTTCCTTCCTTCCTCCCCAGGCCCGGGGGCCGCGCGGTACTCACAGTTAAAGTCGGGCATCTTGGGCAGGATCATGCCCGCGGTGGACGCACGCAGCCACTGGTCCAGCTGGAAGGTGCCGGCGCCCAGCTTGATGGGATCCGCGGGGTGCGCAGGGTGCGCGCCCTGCACCTGCGGGTAGGAGTAGGAGAGCGCCGGGTGCTGGCCAGCCAGCGCGGCCGCCGCCGCCGCCGCCGAGTAGCCATAGACCGGGTGGCCGTAGAGCGCCGCCTGCGCGGGGAGCCCCGCGCCTCCCTGCGCGCCC